GGATCATCATGAAATGGTACTCCTCGAAGATTTCATCCACATTTTATTCAACTGGAAAATTCGAAAGTGAAGCTATTTCAAGATTGTAGAACACTTTAGATGAGCAACCCTCAGGGATTCCTCTCTCCTTTCACTGTTAAGGAGAACCACAGGCAATTGTTATATAGGAATATGAGTATATGCCAACAGGAGAGGGCTATCTGTGCAAGTGCACTGGGAGGCTTGCATACCAATAGCGGGCTGCGCCTTTTCTTGCTGCCAAGAGAGACTTCAACATGCTTGGTCAGGTTCCTATTTATCCATTAAGGCATAAAATGTACCCCACCCCTGTAATAGATGAGAAACCATAGGCTTGCAGGTTTAACTCCAACTAAAGACCCCTTACCGAGAGCTTTTGGAGCTCTGCCCTTGAAATTATCACAAGACTCTAATCAGCCTCGCAATGTTGATAGTAAAGTGTTGGGGCCCGGCAGGAGCTGTTGGAGCTGCCACCAGACTCCGACAGCGAGGGGCCTTATGAGTCAGCCCTGGAGGATGTGGAGGACCCTGGACAGGGTTCCGACTCCAAGCAGGGCGTAGAGAGACTGGTTGGCCACCAGGTGGCGCCTGAGTCTTGGATCAGTGGGGAGAGTGATCCAGAAACCACCTGTGAGTTGTTCCGGGATGCACGCCGTCGAAGGGCTACTCAGGCGTCAAGAACAACTACGTAATTACAGGAGGTAATTACACTCAGCTGATGCTCATTAAACTCCTCTCCAGATTATAAAAGAGACTGCTTGTGCCACGCCCTTCTTGCAGAAGTCAACGTTAAAAAAAACAAAAAATGTTAGGGACTAACGAGAAACAAACTTGGCAGGTTGGATTGCTGCCAGAGTTTGTTTGCATTGCTGCCAAGGTTTGTAGGACTTGCTGCCAAAGTGCTTATCTCTTTGTTGATTTGGTTTTCAGCCAACGAGAGTCTGGACTTATTAAAAAAACATTCTCATTTATGTTTGTCTCGGCTTTCATTCCTGGACGGAGGAGGGGGGTCAGAACACAAACTATACCGTCTCCTTCATTAGTGTTCCAAAGACTTGATCATTAAGCAAAATGGTCTCTAAGAAAAGACATGGCTGAAGGAGAGACACACACACTGTGGAGATTACTGGTTGTTGCCATCTCA